AATTGTTTCAACGTTTCCCGTCTTTTTGGGTGCAATAGATTCAATAGGTTGAACCAAGCGACTCGGCATCGAACAGCACTGATAGCGAGGATTAATTTGCTTCTTCGTCGGTGCATGATGCTTCCCTGTAATTCAACGGAAAGGATGTAGAGTTCAATACATTGCAGCCGACCAAGACCCGACGTGGAAGGTTTCAATACAGCAGTTGCTCAAGGTTTTGCTGATTGGGGCAATCAAGCATGGTGGATGAAGGACCCTTCCGCGACTGCCCATAAGAGCGATGGCCTTTCCCCTAATAGGGATGGCCTCCAACCTACAAGCTGGTGTGACTGCTTTCACTGTATTCTTGATTGACGCCGCATTGCTTCTGAGCCCGCTATCCTGAAAGTTGAAGGGCCAAGACTTTTGAGCCGGTACTGCATCCAGCAGATTGGGTAACATGCTGAATTTCAATGTGCTGTGGGGCCACCAGTCATAATGCTGAGCAGTGGATCACCTTTGTATAGCTTTGGCACTTTTCTGGGTTAAAGCTTCCAACAGCTTGCAGACATTGAGATTTGGAGCGCGCGATTTTAGCTTTGACACGGGCTCTCTTTTAGCAGGTGCTGTTAGGTACGGTTCAAACAAAGCGACAGCTGGCCCTGGTGCCGCGGAATGCTGGGTTCATTTTGTCATGCCGTCATTGTTCAAAGCTTGGCTCAGCCTTCACATCCAAACCTCAGGTGTTTACACATCCCATGACGTGTCCAACCCTCATCCAGCTTTGGAGGCTTCGACAACGCAGTTTCAGAAATGCCCTTGTTACTAGTAGCTTCTTGCTCCTGGTAATGGCCTCCAACCTAATAGCGATGGCCTCCAACCTAGCTTCGTCTGCGGTTGAAAGGCAATGTGCGCCGTCCGAAGTGAAGAGAGCTTCGTCCTGGCATGCAATGCCTTGCCAGGTATGTGCGGTTCCAATAAGTCGCACAGGGCCAGCCCGAAAGAAGTGGTTTGCCTGACACCGACCTTGCCGACGATGCTTCTTTTGCTCGTTCAAAGGAACAGATGGCCAAAGTGTTTCAAACGAACAGTGCAGCTAGCCCTGTGCACGCAACTTTCCAGTGCCAGTGCCGAGAGTAATCAATCGAATGGCCTCGAGCATCGCTTCACATGTTTGCGTGCAATCTCCAACTATGATCTCCATAGCCCCTACACAAGGTGCAGAAGGCTTTGCAGCCTCGATTAGATGCTGCTCTGCATTCACCGCTTTCGTTTTTTCGTGCCGGTGTTGCTCCGGGGTGAGGTGTGTTTGGGGCTTTCTTTCGCTACGTTTCCAACCTTTTCAGCTGCTTCTCACCCTTTTAAATACCACGCATCAAGCGGCGGAGTAGCAACAGAAAGTCAACGACTGAGTTGTATGATTTTCCCGCGCTGGAGAAGCGTGGAGCAGCGCAGAACCCGAGCTGCGCAATCAATTGCACACACACAGAAGTTGAAGAGCCGAAGAGATATGATGCAAAGCACACTTTCTGGCCATCCGGGTCTCACGACGCTGGCCTTTATCCGTCATACAACTTGCAAATACAAACCTGGGCTGTTGCGAGGCTTACAAGGCCGCCGATCCTTGTACTTGTTATCTCCAAGGCCAAAAATCATCTAAATGTCAGTTTGCACAGTCATCCAAGGCAGGCTTTAGTCTATGGACGCACGCCTGGCAACATGTTCCTGTGTCAATTTGACAAACAGAGACTTTGCCTTCAGGCCGTCAAACAAGGCGGTGGCCACTCAAATGTAGTGTCCAGCCAATTGCTTTGGGCAACTCAGTGGCTCCGTGTTTGAATTCAATTTGAGCTCCCTAAAGAAGGGCCACGCACGAGAGTTGGCAAAAAATATGGCTGACAAGTCTTTCAATTTTGAAGCGCCGAATATTTTGTCACGCGGCTGGAGTAGAGGACACCCAGGCAGTCATGTGGCAAAAGCGCCTTGTAGAGTTCCAATTGTGCTGAAGCTATTAGGAACAGGTGCATCGCTAGTAGCAAGAAGCTACTAGTAACAAGGGCATCGCTATTCCTTGGAGCTTCGTCATGTTGCATGACGAGTCCGCAGAGTCAACCCGATTTGCATATGCTGCATATGCTTGTCCTCTCTTTGGACAGACAGGCAGCCTTAAAAAAGACATTTTGCTTGCTGGCTTGCACAACCAAAAGACATTTTGCAATGGATTTTTGCTGCGGACAGTTAGCTCAAATAGATCGTTCTGAGCACGGCAGTGAAGAGTTTGTGCACCTCTGCCAAGGCACAGTTGTCCTACAGACACCTACAACCCAATAGGCTTAGGAGTATGGCAATCGAATAACACGGATCGTGAATGACGCTTCTCGGATCCCGGTGGTTGGAAGGTCATCGTGGGTAGAACATGTCCGGATCCGGATTTCTTTGGTTGTCAAAGATTTTTGTGAAAGGCGCTGGACATTGGCGTTTTTGAGAAGTGGTCTATGGTCTGCTTGGGTGTCGATGGATGGTCAATGCTGATGAGGAAGTATGAGCTGATGGAGGTTTTGTCCTCCAGAACTTGAGCTTGGCCACTCGGATTTCACGCCTCTTTAAGTTTCAGTTCCAAGATAGCCCGAAGGTCATGTCGTGCATTTAGTCTGTCGACTTGTGCAATGCCGAGGCCATCTAACCAGACTGATGTGATCACACGAAAGGAAATGATTAGCTTCCGGTCTCTCGGTTTTGCGTGTTCTGCATTCCAGAGAGCAACGCCAAGTTTGAACTCGAGCCCCGCGGAAAACCTCCTTTTAATTTTGCAGTAAAGACTTTGTGATAAGGCGGTGCAAAAAGAAAATGCTGCCACGTGTAACTCCGCGCAAGGTTTTTCTTTCCTGGTTGTCCTTTGTAAGCTTCAGCGCGAATGTTGAAGTTACCCATTTTCCATGTCTTCATTCAGAAACGAGAAGCTTTTTCTAGCTGCTTTCCTGCAGGGCGGTGTCAGGAGCCAGTGACAGAAGTTGTGCGTCTCCTCGCAGCGCAGATCAGAAATAGTGGGTAAGCTTTGCCCAGAGCCTGACTCTAAGACTCAAAAAGTGTCAGCAGGGACGCTATTAGGGGCTCCTGGCATCGCTTCGGACGGAGCAAAGACGCTACTAGGGGCTCCTGGCCGTACTACTAGGAGCAAGAAGCTACTAGTAACAAGGGCATCGCTACTAGGAGCAAGGAAATAGGGCCACACTCTGGCCCACCTAAACAAAGGCAAGAAGAAGTGATCGGCTTCGTGAGAATACCGGACTTCAGAAAAGCATGCAGCACTTTGTCAGTGAAGCGCAACAACCAAAGCTTCAATCCAACCAGTGGGGTGGGATTTGATCTGCAACAAGTGTTTCATAAAGTGTTTCCATGAAGGACAGCGTAGTCCACGTTGGAGAGCATGATTGCCATTAATTTTGCAATGCTTTTCTCCAGCAAGCTGGCGTGCGATGCAGGTACAGCAGCTTAGATAAGCCGGGCGACAAAATGGATTGAGGATGATTAAGGAAAGGTGTCCAATTGAACGAGGGGTGGATTTTTGTATTCATGCCTATCCCTAAATATGCCTAAATCCATTTCAGTGTTTCTGGGGCGGTGGCCATGCTGACAAAGCAGGGTTGCAGAGGTGCGCATTAAAACTAAGAATCCATGCCAGCCATCTCATTCTTAGTAGGAGGTTCGGTGTGGGTATGGAAGATTTTGTTGGAGGACATATGGACAGATGTATGATTTAGGTGATATTGGATAAACCAATTCAGTTTATTGCACATCAAGACTTCGCGTGCGCAGCGTCTTGAAAGAATGTGTCCAAAAGAGAACAGCATGGGCAAAGGTGCGCCGTGTGGACCAAATCGCTCTGTCGTGTTCCATCCCCTTTCGGCTTGAACGATCACTTGGTCGGTCCTGCTTGGCTGAGTGCTGTTCAGAAGCGTTCTGGTTATCAGAGCTGTTCCAAAGCTCTTCTTGCCTTTGCTGGGCTTTGCCAAAGTTCTTGAAATGCGCAAAACAAGGGCCACTACCTTGGAGATATTGACGATCAGAGGCTTGCAAGCTGCTTGGGCCAGCGACTGTGCGTTCTTTTTTTCCCTCAATTGAAGCTGAAGCCAGGAGGCAGCTTCAATGAGTCTTTAACAGCATCACTTGAGCTACCAACAAGTCAAAACCCTTTACTGTAATGAGCTCTGACAAATTAGTTTTGTCTTTGGGGACTGCACACAGGCTTCTGTCCATTCCTGTCCTATTTCCGCCAAGTTTCCAATTGCATGTCATACGAAGTCAAAATAGCTTGGGTCACATGCTTGTGAAAAGAGAATGTCTTATTCAGCTTGCATATTGGTGACACTGCCAGACTCTGGATTGAACATCTCTGGTTTTCAACCACGTGGCAGTGGAAGAACAGGAAGGCAAATGTGCAAAGGTTAAGCTGGCAAGCGGCACTGAAGCTTCGCACAAGGGACGCCGAAGTGAACTAAGGAGGCGTCCATTCGAAGTTTTTCAAGTGATGATTGTTTTTGCAATAAATCCTTTTAGTGAAAGAGGGGTGGCCGTAGGCTTTCACATATCGAGGATGCTATGAGGGCACAAAGAAAGCGCGACTGCTTGGCCATGAAACAGCTCGCGGGTGCTTCTTAAGTCAACACTCTACACCTACGCAAATCCGACAAAAAGAAAGACATTCCCAGCTTTGGGGAAGCCAGACCCACAGCTACGCCTCTGAGGATGGTCTGCTGGGTGCCGATGGATGGTCAATGCTGATGAGGAAGTATGAGCTGATGGAGGTTTTGTCCTCCAGAACTTGAGCTTGGCCACTCGGATTTCGCATGTTGGAGTTTCAGGTCCAAGATAGCCCGAAGGTCATGTCGTGCATTTAGTCTGTCGACTTGTGCAATGCCGAGGCCATCTAACCAGACTGATGTGATCACACGAAAGGAAATGATTAGCTTCCGGGTGTCTAAGAAGCCAGGTCGAAAAGGTGTCCCCGGGATCAGAAGCACTCGACAAATCGACTTCGTCATTTCATGGCAAGCATTCACTTTCCGAGCTACCTACTAGCAATGGCCTCCAACCTAATAGCGATGGCCTCCAATCTAAAAGTGATGGCCTCCAACCTAATGAAGCAATCACATTTCGAACTACCTAGTCCGCAATCTAAAGTTTGTTCACGTGCTTGCAGCTATCCCCAGTCCAGCTAGGCAAGGGGTTTGCGCCGGGATTGTTTGTCACAGCTCAAAGGCAGCTCAAAAGGTTCTAAAGTCAGAAGAGTTGAACATTGTAGAGGAGCCGCGAGGCAAACAAAGCACGAGGAAACATATTCTTGGCAACTAATCAGTTCACCTCACAGTACACGGGCCCCATGTCGGCCCCTTTCGGACACCGCATGTCTCACAAGTTCGCCATGTTCGCTTGCATAGCTCAGACATAGTCACTCAGATGCAGCCCGGCCGGAATGAGGTGCATCACACCGCATTGATGCGACATTTTGTTGCTTGCAAGTGTTTTGAGTGGACTTGCGCGAGGAGTTCCGAAGGGCGACCCCGTCCATTTTGCGAGCTACTTGCCTTCACATCATGCCATTTGGCGTTTGATGAACAAGTTTTTTGCAGCCCGCAACACTCACCATGCTTTGTTTGTTGGTTCGCCTGAAGCACCATTGCATTGAGTCATCAGTGGCATTCGCACGGAATGGCGCATGCATCAAAGATAACAGCGCTGCTGCAAGCTACTTTAGGTTCCGAACAAAACTGTTCCCCTCCAAATAGAAGCAGCAATCGCAGCAAGTCTTGTCAAAGGAGAAATATGCATATAAGCAAAGATAACCAAAAGTTAATGGTGCAAGTTGTCCGGTAGCATTCTTTTTTTCTAACGAGGCTTCTGGGTGCAATGCATATCCAATATTCCTCTTGATGATTCGTCGCACCCTTCAACCTCTGAACATTTCAGGTAGATTAGACTTCTTCATAGGTTTTGGCAGGGCGCTTGCTCTACATCTCGGCTGGAAGACATTAGACTGTTGCTAAGTTCTCGAACAACAAACAAATCCAGCTCCACACGCTGTCACCTTCAAAATGAATGAATTCTTCAAGCGTGACCAGGACCTGTTTCTATGATACAGTGAGAGAATGCTAGGCTTGCTTTTGATAATGACAATGACTTTGGCCAAGGCTTCCTACCATGGCAAGCAGCCCCAACTTGTTTCGATGCCCACCCTTGATATTTCAATGATTTTGTCATGTTTACCCTGTGGTGTTGTTGCCACGTGG